CATACCAAATTCAATAAATATTAAAAATTTGCATAATAATAAATATTCCAAATGAAAAAAACCAAACAGAAAATCCCAATTCTGATCAAACAAATGCAAGAACAAAGAAAAAGAAAATCCAAACAAATTCTTCAGAAGTTGAAAGAGAGTTGAGAGATGCCACCAGATTGTTCAGGCCAAGGAACATAGAAACTGAGTTTACCAGTTTCATCTTCCCACTTAAACTCAGCTTCCTTGCTGTTCAAGTAACACATCTTTGGAGCACAGCTCGAATACGCCATGAATCTTCCTTCACCTTTCAACTCAACCCTAATGCTATTATCACCACCACTAACCTCCATCTCTTCAACTGTTCCCACACAGTTGAACATGTTGATCAAACCTAGAGGTGCAAATCTAACCCCTGAGGTTCCAAGTTCCGTGACCGGCACGAAGCTGAATAGGTCAAACGAGGATGGCTCTAGGGTTATCTCCATCGGGTCTGATTTCGAGTTCATGAAAAGGATTTCCTCCGATTGTTTCTTGTAGACCAAGTAATCTCCGGCGTAGCTGACGTGAGACCTTGCAGCTTCTGGGTTTTGATCCCATTCGACGTCTGTGACATGAACTGGTTGCTGAAACTGCCTTGCAACATTCTTTGTATCCCTTGAACCTATGCTCCTTTGGGCTCCAACCAGCTCCTTGACAGTTAAATGCTCCAATTACTCCTCCAAACTGCAACAAATCATAAAAGGGTTTTTAATAAAGTTTCAATCTTTAAACATTTGAATTTGGATTGATCAAACTCATTACCTTGTTGAAGTTGAAGATCTTGAGGATTGATTCTTTGTCAAACAAAGGGTTCTTGAAGAGAGAATCTCTAGTGGGAAGACCATAGTGGAGACATTTTGGGATGGTGCCATCGCGGAAAGCGAATTTCTTGATGAGATCAAAGTTATGCGAGGCTTTTCCAAGATGGTCACTGATGTAGATTGGCCCACCAGAGATGGCTCGAGACGCAGCATGGTACTCAGCACAAACATGGTCTGATTGGAACATGTCCCAATCTGGTTGAATCATTTGACCCATCCAGATACTGTTGTAAGCGCAGTGAACTATCTGTACTCCTTGTAGCCAGTACACACCTTGTGGGTCTTGCCACCAAAAGTCATCACCTGATCAAAATTCGAAACTTTTTATAAAAACTTATAGAAACAATACAAGGAAAAATAAAATCTTTTTGTGTATAAAATATATTACCAACTCTTCCGATAGAAATTTCTTTTGTGGCAAGGAAGAAGAAGTCATTGCATTGTTGCATACTAGCAAGAATTCCAGATCCACTGAAATTCTTAATCATGGATTTGGTCCAGCCATCGTAGTAAGCTTTAGCAAGCTCCACTCTTCCTCCATGTTCTTCTGATACTGACTCTAAGGTCTGAAACCAAACACATACATGTAAATGTAAAGAAGGGGTATAGTATGTGAGAAATATAGTGAGAGTAATGTAAACAAAAAAAAAAACTTACTTGGAAAACATCAATCTTGGCTCCTGTAATTCCAACACTAGCAAGATAAGAGTGCATCGAATCGTAGAACTCATGAGCTTTAGAAGGATGAACAAGACCAATCCCAGCTTCCACAATCCTGTCGACTGCAAGATCAGTCATTGTAGCATCTAGACCAGGAGATTGCTCAAAAGGAACAATCTTTGTCTTCAAATGTGTTAAGGTTTCAGGCCTAACACCATTCCAAGCACCACATAGAGCATGGCACACATATATATCATCTAAACCCTTAAACCTTGACCTCAAATCCCTTGTGAAAGCTTCCATACCTGAACCTGATCCATCCTCAGAACCCAAAGACTCTTCTTTCTCAACTTCATCAAACATTGCATTGAGTTCCTCGCTGTACTTCTTGATCTTCTCATCAAGCTGGTGTAGATCTTGTTCACCAGACTCACGAATCAGCTTCGCTTTCTCTATAATCGCTTGAATCCGCTCGGTCGCTTTGTATTTATAATCATCTTAGGTTTGTGAGGATCGAAGTGAGATGCATCAGATGCTAAAAAGGATCCACCTTTATAGTTTCTAAACTTCTTACATTCCTTGAAGCTATGAAGCCTCGCCGTCATTTGCTCTCCACCAAGAACAAGATTCTCTGCGTCTTTGTCTAAGTCATCACCATCAAAGCTTATACTTTGCCAACCATCGTCAATGATGATGAACTTAGGACATACCCCACCTTCTTCAAACTCCTTAACACGGGTCCAAATCGTTGCAGGGTCAACAGTCAAGTAACAAGCATCCCAAGTACACCAACCAAACTTATCAACGATTTTGCGAAGCTTCTTCTCTTCAAGAAGCTTGAAAGTGTTCATGTGAACACGAAGTGCACTAAAAGACTCTTTCATGAGGTTATAAGGACTGTCACAAATGTGAACATAGGCAATGGAATTGAAAGTTGACTCTTTAACTTGAGTAGAACCACTCTCTACAGAGATCAAGACATTACCTTTTTCACCAGGGTTAAGTGCAGATCTAAAAGACCCTTAAATGATTGGTATTATAGCAACGTAAGAATCAATCTCAGGGATTTTTATTTATAAGATCCTTCTTTTCAATTTTTTCATGTCTGTTAAAAAGATTCCATACCTAATTCTAACTATATTGTGTATCAATATCATTAAAAAAAAAAATCTTTAATTGTTTATATTATCACTACATTTTTCTCTTTGTGAACCACATGTTTCTAATGCTCAATTCAGTTTCTTCCGAGTTATTTTTGCCATGGTTAACAAGAACTTTGGAATATCCATAATTAGGAAATACAAAAATTGAAACAAGTACAATTTCTTAAAATGATTTTACCTTTTTTTTTTTATTTTAAAGAAGGAGACTAATCCCTTGGATCTCATTGACTTTACCCTTACTTTTCTCTTTCCATTAATTTAATAGAATTGCTCTATTTAGATTTTTTTTTTTTTTGGTCAAATCTATATTTAGAGTTTATTGCATATATTTATTACGAGTGTAAGAAAAACTCAAAAAAATATTGTTGTAACAATTAAACAAACAATAAATTTATACGAAAAAAGTGTTATAATTTATTTTGAATCATGAAGTTTGCCATTTTGTTCATGCTTTCTTACATTTTGATCTCACTCATTTTGACTCATGGTCAAGGTAATATTTATATATATCATCATTTTAGTTCTAATTGTTTACTCTAAAACTTTAAAATGATAAGTACTATTAAACGTGAAAATGGTTTTACGAAATTTTTTTTATAAGAAAACAAATCTCGAGCTTAATTTAACAATTACTAACATTTTTTGCTATTAATTCAAAATTGATTGAGTATTTTTCTATGATTGATATAAAATACAAGGTGTGGAGGCTAAGAAGTATGTGTGTGGAAGCACAAAGTGGTACGAAGGAACTTGCAGCAATCCTTCTGACTGCATTGCAAAAACAAAACTTGGAGTAAAGAAGAATCAAAAACCTATTCAATGTGACTGCTATGATGCGGGTTTCAATAAAATATTTTTGAAAATAGAGCATTCTTGCAGATGTACTTATTATTGTGACTGATTGTAAGGTGTAATGCCCATTCTTACGTATATAACTATCCTAGCTATTGACAAAAAAGAAACTATCCTAGCTAAGTCTTAATTATTATTGTCTCACTCCTAAAATTCTACTTGTAAATAAATAAAGGAAAATTATTATATTGTAAATTATGGATAGCATATATTTTTAAGGCAAATTTGCAAAATTAGAAAAAATTAGTTTTTAAAAGTCAGTTCAGTTTCTTCCAATTTATTTTTGGCATGGTCAACAACAATATAAATTTGGAATATCCATAATTTAAAAAATACAAAATTAGATGACCCACGGGCCCAATTGGTTAAGTAGGCCCAATTCAGTTTCTAAGTAGGCTAGTTGAGAAATCCAATCATCATGCCGGAGGCTAATTTCGTGTAGATTGCTTGATAATCGAATTCGGAGGCTTGAAATCGGAATAGTTTCTTCTTCAAGGCAAAGAAGTAATGAGCAATGAAAGAAGACAGCTTTCACCATTTCTTATAATCATCGGACCGTATCCAGGGCTAAAAAGATATGTTCATGTATAGGTCACTAGAGGCATGGAGAGCAACTTCCAACTGCATTGTAAAGGAGTAAGTAACTCATTGTTTTCAAAATCCCTTTTTGATTTCATTACATTTGCAACTGAGGGTTTCCATTAATTCATTCTTACAGAGTATTTCCTTATAATACAGAGTATTGT